ATCCAGGCTCGTAACCTACAAAAAATTGTAGAAGCAAGGGGTGAGTACCAAACCACACGATACTCAGCAAGTACATCTCTAAACACAAGCTAAGGGAATAGAATACGGGTACTCATTACACCCCAACCGAACCTCTACAACTACAACCTGCATAAAACCAGTCCAACCTAACAGTTCACAATTTACATAACACTCAGCTCAACAACAATCACTTTAACAAATTACATATCCTCAACAACAAACTCAATATTCATCAATCACAACTTTCACAAAAAGGCACTCACAAATATCAACAACACATAAGATCAAATTCATCAAATAGAGGTAATCAAACATCAGGTACTTTCCAACCATCAATAAAATATATAATCATCAAGAATGAAGGACGTCATGGGATGCAATGCAATATGACACCATGAAATGATATGCCTCAGAATACCAAGTACTCTCTCAACCGTATATACATGATACTCCTCGGAAATACATCGAGAGTTCATGACGCATGGGGGACTCGCGAGGTCCATATACCGACACAGACGATCTTTACGTGTTTGTGCGGACGGTCTCAACGCACTATCATGAATCAAACAAATTTCACACGAACGATCTCCACGTGCCAAATTATAATTTTAACATCTTACCATCCCTAGCACGGACGATCTCCACGTGCCCAACTTATACTCAATCTCATGTCAATACATGTGCACAATATGATTTCAATAAAAGGAATGATGTATCTTAATCAAATATCAATATGATATGCAATTACCTCAGCTATCACCAGTATACGGGTTTAATAAAGAACACAATCACACATAATAAATCAAGTCAATAATATATCAGCTAATGCCCATATGCTTTGACATTCTCGGATTACAATCTGTATTCTATAGTAATAAACTTTCCCTTTATAACACCGATATTCGTACCAATGCCCGTCACAAACAATTCTCAACACATCACACACAAATAATTAATCACATTGCCTTTTATTACCCCTTTTCCATTATTAGAATTAATCAATGTGGACAAGTCAACCCATCACCAAGTCTCATTACCTCCAAACACATGTTACAAGGAAATACACGAATTCCATACACTTAACAAGGGTTTAGAAATTCACTTGCCTCAAATAGTCGAACAATCACTCCGGGACTTGAGTCTTCCCCTTACACTGGGCACCAAATCAATACAATCTATCCAAACAAATTCCTACCATAAGATTTTGAAATTAACAACACCCACATTACTATGTGTTTAGCCTTGAACCAACAATTCACCCAAATTTATAATCCAGTTCGTAAATCTTGATGTCAATCAACATTTCAACTATCATATTTTCCAAGTTTCAAGTCTAGGGTTAAGTCCCAATTTTCCCAATATCATAATTCGAATGGTATTCACGTAATACCATACTTCTAATATTTAACTACCTACTCAAGATATTAAAACGTGAGTCATAATATGATAACTAAAGAAAATCTCAAACAACGGAGCCACATAAAAATGTCGGTGGTGTCAATTTATGGTTAGAAATATACAGAAATTATGCCTTCTCTGAAATAGTAATCATTAGCACCTCATTAATTAACAATCGAGGACAATACTTTCTCTTCCCCCACTGTAACATGTTGCCCAACATCCAATTCCTTACCTCCTGACCTACCTCACATGAATACCCCACTAAAACTTGTACCCCAAATTCCCAAATCCACGTACAACAACATTAATTGAAAGAATAATGCATTCTAAAAACCAATATAATACTCCTTCCCCTCCAAGTGACAACACATTCATTAATTCATGAATATACAATTTATTATGGGATTAAAGAGTTCAAATTTGAGGTTCTTACCTGAATATGGTCACTCTCGTGGGACGCCGCAACTCACAGTTAAGTTCTTGCCCAAACCCTTTCTTTTTTTCTATTTTTTCCCTTTGCGCGAACTGCTGTTGTTCACAATAGCCAGCAATATTTGCCCTTTTATTTCTCTTTTAATTTATTTATTTATTTTCCTTTGCTATTATTATTAGTAACAAAATAATCTTTTATTAAATCTGAAAATCATATCACTCATTCTTATAAATCATATAAATTATTTAGGGATAAGGGTATGAAAAATACCCCAACTTTGGTCGAATTTGCTGTTGCGATTACAAAACTTTCATAAGGACCTATAACCTCCCTAGACTATTTAATATCGTATTTTAAACATATTTGCCCACGTGGACATAAAAAATAATGCAAAATTATAAATAGTAATGTGTCCACGTGGGCACATATATACCTTTAAAATACACTATTAAATAGTTAATGGGGTAAAAAATATGGTATTAAATAGTCTAGGAAGGTAATAGGTCCTTATGAAAGTTTAATATCGCAACAGCAAATCCGATCAAAGTTGGAGTATTTTTCAGACCTTATCCCTTAATAAAAGCTACTAAAAAGGGTTAATATAAAAATAATGATTAAAATTCATAAAACGACTAAGAGGGTCGTTACATTGATCTAGTTGATGTTTTACAAATTTTTGTTGTCATCATTATCATAAGAGAATTATGAAGATGTTTGTCTTTCAATTTTTTTTATAAAAAATTATTTTGAAATCATAAAGAACTTTCTATATCCTTTCCTAGTTATTATAATTTTCAATGAAGCACCATCAACATTTGTGTTATAATGTGATTCATTAATTTTAATGAGTCTTTATTTGTGTATGATGTGATTCATATACGTACGTTCGAGGATATGAAAGTAATCACATAATGGAGGACACATGATGATAATTTCAATTTTCTTCATATTTCGCTCACATACCGTCTAAGTATAATCGGATAAAATATATTTTTATCATTTAACTTTTTTCTAGAAAATTCATGCATAACAACAAGTCAACAACTCCTTTAAATAAATAAGAGTAATTGTTTTGTCAACTTGTTGAATTTCATATTTTTAATTTGAGTATTATAGATATAAATTTTTATTATTTAAATTTAGATATAATTATCTTTTCATGTTTAGAAATTATAAAGTAAAATAGAGAGCCTACACTTTACTCCTCTTTTGTACTTTTTTTTTTTTTTATCATTAAGAAATAAGAAATGAAAAATAAATAAACAAAAAGAATAAGTAGAAAGGAGGAAATTTAGAAATTGAAAAAGATATATAATATATATATATATATTATATTTTTACTACTACTGTTTAATTTTTTTTAGATCTTGAAAATTTCAAGTAAGAAGAGTGGGTGAGACGTATGTTTTCTTTGGTGAATTTTGTGGTTCCTTTCACATGTTTAATATTGAAAATCATCAATAATTAATCTCATTAATTATTTTCAAAGTCTTGGAAACATAATTGAAGAATATATTCAATACTTAAGTTAAAGGGCCAAAATATCCAAAAATAAACTAGTTTATAGTGTGAACATACCTTTTTACTAGCCAAATTTTGTTTTCCATTAATTAATATAAAAATAATTGCATTGACAAATTACTACTATGAGTTATGTGTCGTTTTTCCATTGACCTTTCAAATGGTTAGCCGTGTCAATTGTGTTGGAAATAGCTAGGTAATTTCAAAATCCGTGTGTACCAGCTCGAATGAACTGAATTGATCTTAATGAGTGCTTATTATTTTCATGTTTCATTTTATATGAATTAGTTTGATTTGATACGAAGTTTCAAGAAATAAAGTTTTTTGTTTTAACTTATGATCTAATATAAATGCTAGTTGTTTATGTGGCTATAAATCATTTCGGGTAATAACTACTATTAGAATAAGTTATCCCTCACCTTGGGTGGTATAATAATCCTGAAATAACTTATCTCGAGATTTTTACACATCAATTTTTTCACATTCTTGAAGGGAATTTTTGTAAATAAATAACTTGTTCTTAAAATTTATGCAATGCATTTTATTTAAATACAACAAATCAAACACTTAATAAGAAACAATCTCAACATAATTTATCACACCATAACTAATCTTATCCTAACTTGTATTAAAATCAAAGGACTCCAAACATAAAATTATATCATTATAGGTGTTGGAGTATATAGATTTTTCCATGATAATATATATGACTCTAGGGTTTAATGCAGAAAGTACACTATGCATCTTCTAGAGGATATCTTCATCCGTTTTGTGAGGATTCCCGAAAATTGGTGATTTGCAAGTTGTGGTTGAGTTAAATTAGGTCTTAGGCTAACTCATATCCCAAAAGCTAGCGTAAAAGAAAGATGATTGCCCCAAGTCTTATAAGGAGTCCACTCATTTCATTAACTATCAATGTGGGACTTTTATCATTCTTTAACACCTCACCTCATGCTTAGTGTGTGCAATTTTTGATTTTTGGGGGCTCCAACATTGGGTGAGATGGACCTTGTCTGATATCATGTGAAATTAGGTCTTGGACCTAACTCACACCCCAAAAGTTAACTCAAAGGAAAAAGGATTGTCTAAGCCTTATAAAGAGGTCACTCATCTCATTAATTATCAATGTGAGACTTTTGTCATTAACATGTTGCTACAAATCCGGCTCTACTTGAGAGAAACTCGTAAGCTAATATTATTACACCCCTTACTTGATATGATATTTAGTACGTGTAAATGACTATTATTCGGTACACAACTCACAAGTCAGTCCTCTTTGAAGTAGTCAACCAGGGAATAGTTACTACTAACTAGCTAGTCTTTTTTCTAAAATTTTATGTCCAATATTTGTGGAGATGATGATTTCGTTTTTTTTTTCATGCAAAACTTATTACTCCTATTGTCTCAATTCATGTGGTATTTTTCATTTTTTGATTGTTTGATTCGAAATTTACGCATGAAATCTTTCTTTGTGCAATGTGACAGATTTGTAAGACTTGTGTTTAATTTAGTCAACGTCATCCCTCTTGAGTCTTCTGAACCCAGTGGTGAACCTGGTCCCTTAGGCATGGTTGACCCCAAGTCTTCGCATTTTTTTAATTAATATGAGAGTAAGAGAATCATAGTACTATGTCTATATATTAATTATAGTAAGTTGTTGGTTGAATTACTAGTTTGCATCATTTTGGAAATTGTCAAAAACGATGGAACTAAAACAAATGATTTTGCTTTCTTACCAAATTGCTTGTTTCTACGTTTGTGTGCTAATACTAACATTAGCCACAGCCCAAAACACAACTAAAGGTGCCAATGTCATAAAACCAGGATGCACTAACCAGTGTGGAAACGTTACGGTTCCATACCCATTCGGTATTGGCTCAGGCTGTGCTTTTGATTCGGGGTTTGAGATCCACTGCAACAATTCTGAGAAACCCCTCATAGGAAACCATCTGACGGTGTATGACATCTCGGATGCTGAATTGCGCATCTCCAATGTCTTCGGTTGGAGATGTTACAACTCCACTGGAGCTGTGATCAATGAGGATATGGTATCCAGAAATTTTTTGGAATCAAGTCCGTATAGTTTCTCTGCGCTGAACAGGTTTATTGTAGTTGGTTGCGATGACTACGGTGCAATCTCGGGGCCTAACAACTTTGAGTATGGCTGCAGTGTCAGCTGTACAAGCAGAGAGGATGTGATGAAAGGAGGAGAGTGTATGGGAAAAGGCTGCTGCCAGAAACAGATACCCAAGGGCTTGAAATACTATAGCACAACCATGTCTAGCACTAGAAACCATACCGACGTTTGGTCCTTTAATTCATGTGGCTATGCATTTCTGGGCGAGGCAGATCGCTTTCATTTCCAGGGCTTGCCAGATCTAGGTGATGATCTAACTGTTGATTATTTTTATGAGAGGTTAAAGGCCACTGTGCCCATTGTCCTGGAATGGGCCATCGGTAATCTTAGTTGTGTGCAAGCTCTGGAAAGACTAGACGATTATGCTTGTAGAGAAAATAGCCACTGTGTTGATTCAGATACTGGTGTTGGTGGCTACCGCTGCAGCTGTAATACAGGCTATCATGGCAATCCTTATCTCAATCAAGGCTGCCAAGGTATATATAGGAACAAATTTGACACCTTAACCTTTATGCTGCATATTTGATCAACTCATGTGGTTTGATATAACAGTATTCTATTTATTTGGTGTTGCCAGATATTGATGAATGTGCTGATCCAAGCACCAATTCGTAGTGAAAGGATATGCATAACATCCCAGGGAGTTATAATTGCTCTTGTCCTGATGGATATACCGATGATGGCAAAAAGGATGGTCGTAGCTGTATTGCTGCCTACTCTGAATTCCCCTGGATCAAGTTCTCTCTAGGTAAATATATCTTGGAAAACTTTCATAACAAAAGATATCCATTTTACATGATGTTGTTTGACTGGACATGATGTTTAGGAAAAATCCAAACTATCTCTAGACATTTGTGTAGCTATATATACTCTCATTAACATAAGTTTAAATTATTTTTGAATATATAAATGTCGTTCTTTTGTTTAGAATGACTACAAAATTACCAGAGTATTATTTTTTATGCTAGAAAATGACTGGAGTAGGGAGCTTGGAGTTACTTATATTTCAAACTACTTTTGTAAATTTATTTCTTTACGCCTAACCTATTCTTTTTTTTTTTAGTTTCATCCCTAAACTATTGAGAGTGTGAATTTCATATCTAAACTATCACTTATTAGTTTGAGAAACACACATTGGTGTGTGTAATACACTCTCTTTTATTTTAAAAAATTATCACATCACACTCCACATGGACAAAACAAACTACTTTGACAAAAATTAAAAAATTATTAGTATTAGTTAAAATTAAAGATTAAAAAATTGTTATCCCAAAAAAATATTGTTTATAAAATAAAATGTAAAATATTTTTTTAGCTAGACTCCTTCACTTCCTCTGAACCCCCCCCCCCCCCCAGTTTTTTTTGTTTAAATTTCTTTTATAAAAGTATTGAATTTTTTTTATTTTATCTCCCCTCTCCCCTACAAATACTAATTTAGATATTATTTTATTTAAAAAAATAATAATTCTACCCACTCCACCTAAACCTCCGCTTGTCACGCCCCGAGCCTACACCTTGGGCGGGACTGACACTCAAGAACCATTGCTGGCCCAAGCGAACCCTTGGCCTGACTTACTTACTCAACGGAAGACTTAAACTCAACAAAAATAAGTTTATATAGTAAACTAGAATGCTATAAAAGAACATTCAACTGGCCATTAAGGCAAACTCAAGTCTCAACAGGGGATAATGACAATGAAAAGACTAAAGAACTAACATCTGACTGTCTATGAAGCCTCTAAAACAACTGAGATGGATGTCGGGATAGGACCCCCGATCATCCTAACAAATGAAATACTGCAAAGAACTAAAAGCAATACAGGAGTCCTTCGGAATGCAAGGAGGCTCACCACTGACTCTGAAGTGCTCAACTGGATCAACGGTGCGCCGGATGCCGATCCTAGTTACCTGAATCTGCATCATAAGACGATGCAGGCCAACTGGCATCAGTACATTGAATGTATGAGTATGCCAGTTGGAATGCTAAACAACATAGGCTTGAAAAGGATCTGAAAGGAACTGAAGAACTTACCTGGCTCAACTCAACTCAACATAACTGAACTCATTTCAACATAAAGCAGTTTAAAACAAGTTCAATATAAAGAAAAATTGTTTAAAACATGATGTCAACTCTGTGTGTATGCAAAGATACAAATAACTCTGAGATGTATGTAAAAATACAAAGTACTGCTATGGGAGTTTCTCTAACCAGCAACCATCACATAAGAACTATTGTGATGATACATCGATCTCCCTCACACTGCCAGCGCAACCTATACCTTGCCAAAGGAATAGGACCTGAACTACTAAGTGCATCCACTAGTATATGTGAAATTGATTCATCTAAAAAGTATGACCCTTTTCTACCCAGGATGGCTACA